TGCTAATCGCGAGGACGAATATGAATATCCACCCGTCGGTGAAATATAACTGTTGCGCTAATACGGATCGTTTAAATCCGTTTCCGCACTCACACTCGCGAAACTCATTCGTGTATTAATTCGTGTATTAATTCGCCGTATTAACGTCAGAGCCAAACGCGAGAGAGGTACAACACGGTGGTACCTCTCTCGCGACAACTGTTTCAGACATACTGTTTTGCCGCTTTGGTGTGCGCGCGACTCGTCCGACAACAATTGCGAGGCGATAGGTGCGGAAGTGCAGAGGTACAGTAGCCAGAAGTAGGCGAGTATTTAACACGGCGGAGGAATTAATTTAAACGGCGTTGTTAGTTCGTCGAGTTAAATATCCCTTTTCCATCAGCAATCCCCCGGAGTTGCAAACCGTGGAGGTAACTTATTTCCTGGTCCATTCTACATCGCGTTAAGAGTCGGGGAGAGTGTCTATTGTCCTGCCGATGTATAAATGTCCATTGCAACGTTTTATTTATAATTGCCACTTTACACGATATTTTTTCACGAAATTATTTGCTTCTATTGAGACAATATTCAATTTGTGTCACGCTGTAACAATATTTTGTAAACTAAATTTATTAAAGATTTTATTATTTTTATTATTTTTTACGCATTTATATATGCACAATAATTATGTAATAATTTAAATGTATTGAAAAGTAAACGACAAATCCAAGATGTTCACCCCGTGAAACTTGTTTATCGGATTTCATTGCTTCGAAAAGACTCGTGATAAATGTGTCACCGTGCAAGTATAGTTTCCTCGGAAAAACTTATCGCGACAAAACATATATAATAGGGCAGGCGACAGGATGATCGCGCCATCTTTCTTCGTAATGTTCATCGATCTCGACGCGAAAGGAAGAACCGTGCCATTGTCTCACGAGTCGGGGGTAAAGATTTTCGCCGAGCGAAACTTTCTTTTTTCGTACTTTCCGAGAAAAAAGGACACGCCACGAAAGGAAAGCGTGGAGCACGCTTTCTTTGTGCGCACACTCCCGCAAAAGTTTTCGTGATCGAACTTTTCGCACGAGAAGCGATCGTTACCATTGTAAAATTCGCTATTGAATGTTCCTCCTCGCCATAAAGACAAACCCCTCCTATCAGTATGCCTCTCTGATACCAGATAAGGGTTATAAATGGGTCGCCTGCTCCCCTTTCATCCTCGTATAAATAACGAAATACAATGACGCTTTAGTTTAAATTGCCTCGAGAGAATCACATTTACGAAAGCTAAACTCATTAACAAGTTTCTATTCATGGAAGCTACTTTGCAAAATTGTCAAAGGCGATAACAGCGATGTGAGAAATGCGGTGAGAATATATAATATTAAAAGAATTAATTAGAAAGGCATGTTTGCATATGCATATGAAACGCTCAGTACTTCCGAATCATTTAATAACTTATAAAGCATATTTCACGGTTAAATTATAAGTGTCAGCTGTTATAGTTTTAGAGAGCTTTCATTAAGCTTAGTACAGCAGTTTTGTTAAAGTTTGCCGAGTTAACTCTGTAATTGTAGATATTAAAACGTCAATTATTTTCTCTCTTTAATACGTTCTCTACATGATACACTCAAATTCATGTATTCCACCATTCATATTCGTAATATATTAACAAGAAATACGTAATATCATATAAAAAAACTAACGATGTAGCATGTAATGTCACAATTAAATGTATAATATTAACAAAACATACATAAATATGTAAAAAATGTTAACATATTTCATTCTGACGTGAAATGTACTTTGCAACTTTTACAATTTTTCTTTTCTTTTTTAAACAAAAAAAAGTGAATTATTCTCAGTTTTTTTTAGTAAAAAAGAAAGATATTACTTTTAAAACAAAACTAGCATTCTCGCAGAGTTATTTTGTATACATTTATACAATTACAGAATCGATGTATAATGTTACAATATAGGATAACAGTTTTGCTTCATTAACAAAACAAAGTTTCATCGCGAACGTTTATTTATGCTTTTGTGTACACTAGAAACAGCGGGATTATATAGATGGAGAATCATCTGCGAAGAATACCATTCGAGAAAAAACCGGGGGAAAAACAGTTCTTTTTTCCGCGAGAACAATCAGGACTGTCGTTCAGCGGCAATATGACACACGCGAAGAATTGTGAAGTGGACACTCCCCTGAGATTACCATCGCATATACTGCAAAATGATATGCAAATGGAGAGAGCCGTCCTGCGTGGCATCCCAATGGAAAAATGCATTTCATGCATTTTTAATAATAAAAATATAGAGCGCATTAGTTATTTAAATGAAAATCTCGGAAAAATCGTTACAACTATATAAATGTTTCATGAACGTCTCTCTGCGAGAGTGAATTACACGGTGATTACAACACTATAAAACTCGAGATGACTGCTGCCGATCTGTTGCCGACCAATCTGCTACCAATGTGCCATTAATTCTCTTAGTTCACAAGCCATTGAATTGTTCGAGGATTCACTTCGGCTAATGCGATGTTAGGGAACGTATGTCTGCTGATCAAGATAGTAAGGTTTCTACGGAGCGAGAAGCACCCTCGGGAGGTAGTGTCTGAGAAGAGAGTGCGATGAAAACAAGTGGCTGAGAAAAATCAAGAGAGCAGTTCGACAAGCGGGAGGCGAGTAGCTCGGCAATAAAACGCAAGCGGAAGATTGTGGAGTAAAGGCACTCTCTTGAGATTGCCGGTGCACATGCTCGATACTGATATCACAGAGGAGGAATAAAGACTTCCCCGTATCCTGGCATCCGCAAAGATTGCAGAATATATTCAATTGATTTTTCTTTTTCAATTGATTTTCCAACCATGAGTTTTCTTATCATTACCACTTACGATGTGATAATGAAAAAAACAATGAAAATTTTTTAAAAATCTATGAACGAATGACATTTGTACAAGTAAATAGTTAAAAATATCTATCAAAAGTAATGAAAGTAACTTCAGTTTTTTTTTTATTATGTAATATGAAATAAGATAAAGAAAATGAGGAAGAAATTATATCTTCAAGGAGTACTTCGTCTTTTCGTGTATCTTAGAACGTTTAATAAAATTCAGACGAAGTGTTTATGCGCATGGTATTCTCATTCGAGACATTTAATTTCAAGTGCGCAGTTGTAAAAGTACATCGTTTACGTTCGCGTATATATCAGAAGACTATATACAGTGTCGTACCGTGGTTTGCTGAAACATTCGACCGCAGGGGAGATTTAATGAGCTGCGTCCCTATCTCAAGAGAAATGCAATTGCTGCGCGAGGGTAAATGTAGGTGGCTTCATCCAAGTCAAAGACGATTGTTTTGCTGCACTACGCGTAAAGTATCGTAACTACCGCAATAGGAAACATGTTGGTAAATACAGCAATGCACAATCGAGATAAATCTGCGGTGTTACTACACGATATTGCGTTCCATCCTTGCTTAAGTGCGCAATTTCGCAGCGGAACTTGATGCAATACGATGTAGGATTAAACGATGGAAAATCATTTTCAATATTCAATCGCGACTATATAACATATAATATTGTTCGGCATTGTTTGCATTGCAAATTTCTGTTTCTATTCCATTGCAATTTACACTCCATTTTGCATTGTTACAAAAGATAAATTCCGAAATATCGTTATTATCGTACTTGTCATGAGTGCGAGTTCCGTATAATTTTGCCGCTCTAGCGCACGTATGCAAAGCGCGTATATCAAATATGTATTGCACGTATATCGACGATATCGTAAAGTGTAAGAGAATCGATGGTGAGAATACGCTCTTTGAAAAATTAAAATATTTTGACATTTGATAACTTACAGCTTTCCACCAAACTTTTCCATAGCGAAAAATTAATTGAGCGCCAATATTGATCGCAACTTTGAGAAGTCTAATATTAAATAATTATTAAAGTTAAGTCGAAACTAAACTGAAAGATGAGGTGTTGTAATTTACATTCGCAAGAAGCTGGTTCACTTTTGTTAATTAACTATTAAATATTCAGTAACATCAATATCAAATTATACTCCTATAATTTACTCCCAGAGAAAAATTAACCAAGTTTATGAAAGAACGTATCTCGGCCGCTGATCCCCATATTTTGCACTACATCCGATATTCGATACGATAAGAAGATAATCGCAGTGTAATAAATAAGCGTCCCTTTCTATTGAATATAGAGACCGTTTATTTGGTTTCACCGGAAAATCAGTTCTCTCTCAAAGAGGAGCCGGCAATTCCCCCCGAGATTTCCCGGCTCGATTTGAGAGATTATCATACAGGTTGGGCGTCTATTTATGCGGAACAAACGATGGTTCATGCGACGGACGTTGCCGGGCGGCTCTGATTGAAATGCGCCCGGTAATTTCCGGTTATTTGGTGCATACAGTTATGCTCGCGACGCGGTGCATTAGGCCGCCATGACGCCGGCAACGTTTGATACGGAATGCGTAGTTCTACCATGGTCCATTTCCATCCGCTGTGTCCCGTATATCGACGTCGATCAACATCGACAAAATCGGAGGCTTACGCGATTACAGCGAGCTAATATCGCGGAGCTTTTAATTGATTCTGCGTGTATGCGTGGGAAGAGAACTAGGTTGTAAAATAATCATGTCTCTGAAAATCGCATCATATGGACTGCCTAGATCGGATTAATTTATTGTATCTATAAATCGCCTTGTGCAAATTGAAATAATAATAATGAGTAAATTGTAATAATAATAACTGAAATTTAATGAGTACGAGTTTTACTGGAAATTAAATTAAATTGTTGGATTATTATTAATATCGCTCTTGCTCTTACATGTTACTTAGTTTTTGCGTTATTACCTTGGCGTTGCAATTAACGCGACTGTACTTTTCATAAATTTTAGACTTGCCTCAGATTCCGGATAAATATAATTTCTGTGCCATACCGTTGAGTGAGACGTTTAATTAAAGTTGTAGAAGGTAATGCTTCGTCTTATCGAAATTACTTACGTTAATGAGATCCAGTTTCTCGTCGTCCAACCTGCAACAAAAAGTGAAAGATTGCCTTTTAGATGTTGTAACGGAAGATAACAATTTCGTCGACATTTCGTCGCTGACCGACGTTGAAATGCCATCCGGAATGAACTGTAATAACATTAGAACTCGACAATGTACGAGGTGCCTCGACGACAGAAAACTGTGTTTCCCCGGTCGTGTCGGCCCAACCTACCAATTTCAAAAGTTCGCGGTAAACCAGTGGCCAAAACTAATTTTCCAACTAATTTTCGAAATAGGAATCCCAAACGAGAAACCGTCATCCCGCGGATGACCGAGAAATTACATTTGCAGCATGTGATGCGCCGAACTTTAGATAAAATCGGTATTTCATTTTATTCAATGCGTATTTTTCATATTTTTTATACGCCATAAATTCGTATATTTCTCTTTTTGTTTTTAATTATAATGTAACATATAGGAAACACAATATATCGCTTTTTCAGTCTGATAAATATCAAATAATCCGCCTAATATTTATTAATATAATAATTCTAATAGCGAGAATAGCTGTCGCAATATCTAACGTTCAGTTCATTATTACTGCATTGCAGACATTTATTCGTATTATTAAAGTAGCTTCAGAAATACCTTGTAAAACGTCATTGTCACGATTCCTGTTCGCTCGCATTAAACATACCTGATCAAAGTTCGATTTCTAAGTTTCGTTAATTAAGACAGACGACGTGCCGGCCGAAATCGAAGTATACACCCGGCCGAACCTTCTCCTTAACTGGCTAATTCCTCGATTAACATTTTAATTACTTGGTGCACGAGGCGAAAGTTTGAGCGAGCTGCCCTAAGCTTCAATGAGGGAAGAAGATTAGAGTCTCGTTAGGGCGCCGCAAGTTCCTAGGCGCCATCGCTACTACGCCCACATTTCATCCCCGAGACTAATTTAGCCTTAGCTCGACCTGATATGCGTTGAAGAAAATTATTCATTGGCTTATTCGTTGGCGTCTGTCTTCCGCCCGGAGGAAACGCCGCGCAAAACGTAAGCGAGGGAGCGTAGGCGAGTGTCAAACACTCTTGCGAACAAAGCGCAAAGGACTTTAATCTTGGCGCCGGGCAAAAAGATGCGGTATGCGCGGCGATACGCGATTTCGCGGTAAGGCACACTCGCGATGACGCTTTGTGCCGGAACGTCAGAAGCTGACGAGCGTCCGTTTTCCGCACCGCGCATTTCGCGGCCGGCAAGTCGGGAATTTCAGTAATTAGAAACGTTGTGAGTGTTTTTTGCCAGCGTCATTTAGCGCTGATTCCACTTTCCGCGTGACATAAAAAACGTTGGCACAGCGATATGCGCGTCTCGCTAAGTTCTTGCTAATAATAGAGATTTGAAAATGTGTTGTTGCGCGAGTGAGTACAGTTTTTATTAATATTATATGAATATGAAACAGATTGCTTTGAAAAATGTACAGAATTATAACAGAAAACACTGCATACGCGGAAAAATGTATTTCGCGCTAATTGCCGTGGATTTAAATTGTCACAAATAATTCGAGGGAAACTTTTTCCATATGTTGTCTACAATATCAAAATTTCAACTCACAAAATTTACATTGACTAACATTTTCAGCGAATAGTAAAATATCACGTGTGTCTGTTGGTTGTTGCAGATCGCCATTTCGTTGTTTTGCTGATGTTTTTAATTATCGTGATTTTGTTGACATTACTGCATAGTGTATTGCATAGTGTACTACTGCATATAACAATATTTTGATTGAATCGATTTTATTTGCCATGTCGCGAGAGATAAAATGCAAGAAATTATACAATGTCTCCATGTTGTTGCAGCACTGTTATTTTTAATATACAGGATGGTCCACGAAACTAAGCCAGGTTCTAATAATCCGTGTATAAAAGTATTTAGGGTTTCAAATATCTCGTGAAATATTTATTTTTCAAACACTTTATCCCAATACTTTTATACACAGATTATTCAGAAGAATCTATTTAAAAAAAAAAAATATAATTCCATTTAAAAAAAACGCAATTGCACTTTTCTGTTGCACCGTTGCATTTACGAAAAAAATGAGTTGATAGAAAAATTTTTTATGTTATACCATTTATCTTTTGCCTCTACCACATTTTTTAAATTTTCAACAAGACAAGTGGACCACCTTGTATAATAATACATTGCGGAACGACGGAACGATTCTCAGTCTTGACGCTGAAACTTACGTTACGAAAATAAATTTTCCGCATCTGCGAGCGTTGCATTTTTCGTGAAAAGCGAAATCTCTGTAAATAGGAATTTTCGTTGGCGCGACAACCGTTAATGCCGAGTCGTATATCATCAAGCAAGATAGCAGGAAAGACGGGATTGTGGCCTGCTGTAATGAAGGCGGCGTATGCGAAAAAAATTATTATGCAAAAGCAGATTAACCTACTTGTCAGCCTAGTACATTCGCGCGCGCCGGTTTACTTAATTATCCTTTTCAGTACATAAATTTACGAAAGCCTGCTTCTCGAAGATAAAGAGAGCGCGACGTAAAAAAATGTTAAACAAGCAAAGAAGAGAATTATACTTAATTACCGGTAACTTTTGCATTACAGTAAACAGTACTTAATGTTTTTGCAAGTTAGGCGGGCAACTTTTGCATTAAAATGATGAAATACAGCCGCAATAATAAAAGCGTATACAGCATTATACATCGGGAACAAAGTTCTCACGGCGGAAAATTTTATTGCTAATGTAATTCGCATAGTTTCGAAACAAGTTCGTTTTTAATTATAGAGAATGCCGCCGCGTTAGAACTACAGCACCGAGATTAAAGCGGCGAGACGTGTAACGTCGCTGATAAAAAAACAAAAAGAACAAGATTTATCTGTATTCCCTCTAAGCTCGCTTGTAACGTAACTCACACCATTTCACTTCGCGCAAAGCGTCTCCAATTCACCGAGCATGTCTCCTGTGTCCTTTGCTCTTGACTTTTTCGCCGACCCTTTCTCTCTGACCGCTCGCCCTTCCCATCCGTGTTCACGGGCTCCGGCGTCCTTTCCTCGCTTGCGCTTCAAGCCCCGCTGAATTTTTTGTTCCGAGCGCCTCTCTTACACGCGCTTATACTTGGCGCCGTTTTCATTTCGTCTGAGTGCGCAATTTGCAGTTTTGCTCGTAAGTGATTAAGATGCTTAATCTGTGCGCGCGAGTGGACGGCCTATTTCTTCGTCCAGTCTCTCCTGTCCTGTGTCCTTTTCTTATACTTCCCGGCTAATCCAACTTCCTTCGTCCATTTCCTTCCTCTTTCCCCCCCTCCCGCCGCGCGTCTCCGATTCCTTTCCATCGAACCCTTTCTAATTTTCATTCTCTCGTTCGCCCCGCGCCGCTCCTTCGTCTCGCCCTCCTTCGTTCTTTAATTTTTTTTCCCTCTCATTTGCCATATCGCTTTCCGTTCCGCCTTAGTATTTCCGTACCCTACCTCCGTTTCTCATTTCCTTCCTTTCGCGCAGCTACTCTTACCCTTCCGTGTTCTATCGCACTATTTCCTTTACACACAACACACAATTTCCTGTACACGCCGCGCTGGCACATATCATTCGCATCTTTCAACTTTTATATCTGTCCGAATTGACATGGCAAACTCGAAAAAAGGAAAGAAACTTATTAAGTTTACTAAGCTTGAAATTTAAGTACACAATCCAATTGTCTTTTTCGTACATCCTTCGTCATTGGTAGTAAAAATAATTAGTTAATAAAATTAGTTATACACATAAAATATGATATTGCGCGTGTCTGAAAACTGCAAATCGATTTTTGCTTAAGAAACGTCATCTATGATACATTCAGCAGAAAGAAGAAAAGATTAATGTTGCCGTTACACGGTTGTCTTCCCCGTAATTGCGACTCGTTCGTATGGCACATCTTTTCACGACAATAATTCGAAACTTTGCATAGGGTGGAAAAAAACTTGAACAAATGTACTTGATTTAGCGGGCTGCTCGGCGAGTTACCTAGCAAAATCAAACGAGACACCACTCGCAGCGTTTTAGCGCCGCGGAGAACACCGTGTTGATTTAGGACGGTAAGTTATGATCTCGAGTACTACTACTGCAGCGCCATAGTAATATTCCGCAGAATATGGAGGCGCCAGATAAATTTCAGTAGCAATTAGCGGCCGCCGCGATAAAATCCATAATGTCGCCCCCGTCGTGGAGTCGCGCGCAACGTAAGCGCGAGTGTGTTAATTGAGTGCGAATCTGACTAACACCCGCGATACTCTCCGCAGCGGCGGAATTTTGAGTAAGCTTTCACGATTAATTACCAGGTCTAGTTATATAACGTCTACCGGCGTGAATCAGATCAATTATTACAATTTGTCCGGGAAATGGCAAGTGGTATTTCTCTCGCAACACGACCCGTGTATTTAAAGACTGTTATTTTAAAAAATTTGCGTCATGCATTTATTTTGCAATTCAAAAACATGCTACGATAAATGTTGGCTTTAAAAAATAATATTTTCCAACCTTTTAAATTTCACTGATATTTTTAATCCTATTTTATGAGTATTATACGAGCAAAATAGGCTCTTTTTGGTTTCAGTTATATTGGAAGATGGATAAAAACATTATTAATAACAATAATTTTTGTGCTACGGTGTTTCAACTTCTATTATTTGCATTCTACAGGTATTCAATTCGATCAATTGTGGATTAATAAGACAAAGATGTACGTACGCAGCTTTTGTGCAAAAACTCGCGTAACTTTTTATATCACGTACTCATTGTAGTCGTGTAGATAGTGAAATCATATTACTCGCGATCTTATCTCTCAGCTTCGTAATAGGATGCGGAAATCGCGCGCCATGAACGTGTATTCGCTACATTAACAAAATCAGTCATCATTCGTAGTGCAGAATACCGAAATCTGACCGTCGTGCTAATGTCCTGCAAATTGCAGGCCGCGTTACGGTGTTGGATTATTGATGACACAGAATAGCTACGACTATGCGTCTCTATTATCTTTACGATCTGCAAATGGGACCG